AGCAATTCGAAATGATTGGTTTGTACGTTGTGACAAAGGCACCAGGTCAGTATTTGATCCGCTGGGTGACGATGTTCGTACAGTGCACATCCTCAAGCGGAGACCCATTTTGCGCAGTAAGACCGATCCGAGGACCGGGAAATAAACTTACCGCAATACTCAACGCGGTGCAAGCAATAGCAGCAGGTCAAAATTATGGTTCGCAACCAATGGAGCTCCCAGGACCAAAGAAGAGAGTACGGCATGTGGCGCAATACTAGGACGTCAAATGGTTTCAAGCACGTGCTTAATGCTAACGCCAAACGGAGCGATAAAGACTCGCAGTGATTTTCATTAGTGTGACGGCGACAGACAGACTGGAATTTGGCATCAGACTGCCCCAATGACCCTACACGTGAGCAGGAGAAGCTCAAAGCAATAGAGCGCTAGTCATTGCCAAGACATGAAATGGTTACGGTAGACAAGGGTCTCATGCATGTGTCCGATGAAGCTAGACGGTCGGCCTTTACAGGAATGATTTCGACATGTTCTTTTGAATTGAGAGCGGGCTCGGAAGCCGACAACTGTTTCCGGGTTTGTGGATCCCTTTGCAAGGCGCCTCAGACCGCAAGCAGGAACAAAGTGCACGGAGGTTCTGGGCTGGGCGTGACACTACTGACGCATTGATTCCGAGCTCGACGGACAAAACGGCTGTGCGATTGAAATGTGTTTCCGACTTCAGTTCCACTAGTTGCTGTACTAAAGAACGGAGCAAGAAGCAGGGTGGTAGCAAGACACACCGTCTCAGCAAAACCCTCATCTGAACAATCTTGTTTCGCAGCAACCGAAACAAGGTATCACGTATTGACATCAGGGCTCCTGATCCGAGGCGCTCGATTTAGGGCCGGACCACCAGGCAATCTCCTTGATGGTTGCGCGCGTTTCATGACCAGATTCGAGCGATGTAAAAGCTGGAGAGGTGATTGTTCGAGGCACACTGGCAACCTTTGAACTTGTTCTCCATGAGTCGAGTGCATGCACCGGACTCGGAAATTGGAACAGCGTCTCTTGTTTCAAATCACGTGGCGGTGGCAACGTCCGCACCTCGGCTAGTAAAGAATGGATTCTTTCACTAAACCTTGTTCTTTGTGATCCAGACGTGCGATTCCAGCATTTCATCGGAAAGCGGACCGAGCACAAGTGTCTGAAACGGTCACCCTGAGTCGCCTTTGCGAGGGCTTCAAGATCTGCCTGGCCCTCTGCAATATGACCTCGCACGGAACACAGTATTTTCTTGCTCTCAGACGACGTGCGGTGCCAATTCGAGCTAGATCTAAAAGCCTGCCCAAAGACTACACCCGGTCTCTTCACAAGCAATGCACGAGTTGAACTTGTTTTGCAGACCGCTTTTGGATCCAGCCGAGGAAAGGATGATGCCGTCGGTGAAGGTTCCTTCGAGACGTGCCCCGGTAGGGTTCCCTAGCCGGGTCAACTTCAACGCATTTTCGTCCTTGACAGTCTTTGTGTGCAGCTCATTGACCATCGATAAAGTTTGCAGCTTAAAGCAGCTCACCAAGAGGCATTGAAAGCAGATAGAAAAGATGCGAAGCTAACAAACGCCAATGAAAACGAGCGCTCAACTGGGCTTTGAGCTCAAACTTTTATTCTGCTGGATGCACGAGACTCCGGGTGGACGGAATACAACAGATCGGTGTCATTTTCTCCCAGGCTAAAAGTTGGGAAACCAGACAGACAAGCTTCACTAGCGTACAGCTAGTTGGTGGCCGGATAGACGTGGATGAAACATGTTGACTAGATCAGACGCCCAAACGACTGTGCTTAAGGACTCGCTTTTGGACCCTAGCACGAAGGGTTTGCAGCGAAAGCTTTTGGTCTAGATCAATATCGTCCGAAAAGCAGACATAAGCTGTGTCGTCTTGGCACACACATGCAACATAAAGCAGTAAAACTGCCCCTGGCCGAGGTTTAATGGCGGCCCTGAGCGGGCCCGGTACGGCTTTGGATGCCCCAGGAGGTCTTCGATTCGCTTGAACTGTCGTCTTAGCTCAGTCTGCGCGGCGCTGCTCATTGCTGTAAAGTCTCCACAATCTTGGCGAACAAAATCGTCCTGCTACTACTATCGGCTCACGCGAACGTATTTTGTCTGCCGAAGGGCGGACGCTTCCTGGACCGTACGTACGTGACATAAAGTGGCCGAGCCTGGCTGCATCTTTCAAGACAATGAGCAACTCCAACTGTCCGTGGCGGCGTGCGAATCTACGGTCGAAAACTTGTCTGTAATTGCAGATGCGGTTTCAGAAGTCTCGGCCAATGCTGTCAACTGGACGGTGAATGGGGATCTTTAATCAGCACTCCTGAGCCTCAACCTTTCGCCTTAACCCACTTAATCGGGAGAAGCCACGCCCCGAAGAAGTCGCTGAATGAATCAGAGGGAGCTCAGCAGCGGTCCTCGTTATACGCGCTCGAATCAAGATCACACTCAGTACGTCCAGAAACTCAACGCAAATCCACTGCGCACAGATTGAACGGATGCTTGCGGCTTTGCATGACAATCAGAGTTCCGCTTGCGCATCCACTGCCGCAGGCCTTCATCGTTGCTATAGGTACTGTTTGAAAGCCACTTTTGTAACAACGCAATTTAAAGGAAAATGGATTCGGTTGCTGAGCTCTTGAGCTTGCAAGAATCCTCAGTCAACTATCGCAACCGTTGCTACTGTCCTGCCAATCATGCTGGCAAGTTTGCATTGACACGTGCAAGATAGTAGGGGCAAGCAAACAAGTTACGTCAAAACCGACGCACGATGCATATGCTGGCCAAACCTTCGAAGGCTTCTCGCCCTTGTGAAAGGATTTAGACTAGCCGAACTGCATGTGACTTAGAGATGGCTTCAGGAATGGTTTCCCAAGAGAAGAAAGTGTGAGCTTATACGAGGCTCACGTCCGGATCTTGTCATGGCCAGAAGACTGACTGCACTCCGATCGATGCCGATTCCAACGTGTTGAGACCGAGCCTCTGCCGAGTTGCATCTCTGAAGTCGCATTGGAATAAAGCGAGCGCCCACTTTAAAATAGAGAATTGCTTCATACTTCGGCAGATTGACGGCGAAGCGACGGACTCAATCGCTAGAACCGTTCGAACGGGCGAAAACGGAGCGGGCAAACAAGGCTGTAGAACGCCGCGCGATAAGAACGAAGAGTACCGCAACAGGCATAAGCAGTGTCTGTGTGAAACTGGTTGCTTTCCAAGTGACCCAAGAAGCGTGAAGCAGAGATGTATTGATCCGGGAGCACGCTCTAACATGTCGTCAGGTTGCTAAGTTCCTCGACCCGCATCGTCTGCGAATAATCGCTTCGCAAATCGTAAAATCATCAAGCTTCTCAGTTGGCGAAGCTCGACTTCGATTGAGTGCAGGAAAAGCACAGATGGACAACAATGCATACGGAAGATGGAGTCGTGAGCACCCGCCGATATTGCTGGTTAGGGCGCATCAGACAGCTATACTGCTAGAATGCAAGGGCGAAGTTCAAGTTTCACGATCGAGAACCAAGACGCACCGAGTATGACATCGACAGGAATAGATGCATGCACACAGGCGCTCGCTGCTTGCTTTGCCGGTATATTGGCCCAGAAGCACCGTTGCATCTCTATCTTTGCATCATCTAATGTATATGACAAAGTCTCTTCCGTGAAGTGATGTCCTCAGAAGGACAACAATACATGCTTCGATATGGATCCATGCGCGTGGATGTCGTGACTGAGTGCGTTTGCGATGGCTTCAACTTTTCGGTGGCAACTTTTAAGATCGATCGGTCCGTTTTGCGACAATGAGCGGACATACAAGCCCTCTCCAGTGTAGAAGTGGATGGGCAAGTCGCTTGGACCGAACCTACGAGCTCTTCAAGCAAGTATAGGTGTTTTGTGGGATCAGAAATGCTGGTTCATGACTGAAGACAGATACTCATCGATCGCCTCCCGCCCTTGGAGGCTAGGGTACGCGTCCGCCATCCCAAAATCGGGCAGGTGGCGCAGGTCGCCAGTCGAGCGAGCCGAGCTGCAAGAAGATACGAGTAAACCGTTGTACAGAGGTATAAAGAGCGACAAAGCCCACTCAGGACAAAACCCTTGGCGCGAAGAACGTATGACGTCCTTGAGTATGACGAGTGCACTAGCTCAGATATGTAAGCAAAGCTTTCTGACCACATCAGAAACGAGTGCAGCGAACTATCCATGAATGGGAATTCCTACCTTGACCGGATACGCTCGTTGTAACACCGGGACATAAACTTGTACTCCTCTTCGGCGCGGGCTTCGGCTTCGGCTTCGGCTTCGCTGTCCTCCACATCAGTGTCATCTTGAGACGCGTTCGCAATCCCCTCGCCAACCCTTTGCCCAACCAACACCCCATCAATCACAACCAAGTCTTCGCTTTTATCGCTTCCAGATGGACATAAGAGCTTCTTGCCCGTGCACTGCTTTCGGGCCGTGTCTTCAACGGGGTCCGAGCATCCACAGATATGCACCCCAAGTGCCCAAGCATTTGAGGAGTCTTTTGTCTCGTTTTCCATTGCACTAATAATAGTCCGAAAGCACGTATCGCAGTAAACATCTATGTCCGCCTGTCCCTTCAACTTCTGGAGAACCTTGCCAAGATCTTGCTTTTTGCACATGTTTTTTGAAGAGCAGTAATAACACACTGCTATCTTCTCATAGCATGACGGACTGTCACACCAAACCAAGCCTGGTCGCTCGTGATTTTTGCACCAGCGCCCGCAGTCCACGCATTCAGAACTGCACACATGATATAAAGTCAGGATAAGTTCTGCTCCTTGTATAAAGAGTGCTATCTTTGCAACTCAAACCTTCAGGTAGAAATGCATCATGTAAGATCACTGAAAGGGAAGGAGGCTGGCTTTCTAGCAGTAATGCGTGCGATGAAACGAAAGCAGATCCCAGTTTGCAAGCAATGCCAAAGGAAGTGCGGGCAATCCTGACCAAATCCACCATTCTAGAGATAACGCAATTTACTACAAGTTGAACCAGGAATGTAACTGACAGATTGAGCAAAAAGAGCAATAACAAACGGGAGAGACAATCAAGAAGATGATGCGCCTTACTGATTATCCTCGTGCTCTTCACAAAGGGACCCACAGTCAACCTCAAAAGTGGGCTCCCCTCGACACTCGTTGGATTCCACGCACTGCAATGAGGGCAACAGAGTGGTGAACTGGAGTCCCATCATTCAAGATGGCACAGCTGGCTGATTCAGGAGGATGCATATATCATCTGTACTCTGCCTGGTGATCCGGATGCAGTCAGCTGACCCTTGTTAGACATGCCCTCAACAGCTTCCCCAGCTTTGACAAGGGAGAGGTGGATCAGGAGAAAGTCTGCATCATCCTTTAGGTCAGCAGGGACTAAGATATCCACCTGACTGAGCTCAGAAACCTAGTGGCCAAACAGACTGTTACCATGCGACTCCTGTCGTTTCAAGATAGGCAGGCAACTACCTTAGGTCAGCTGAGCTTGTCACAAGGATCTTGAAGCTAGCAAGCCTCCCTGTGAGGTCACTTCAAGCAGCAGAATATTTGCTGCATCTTCCAACCAAGTGTCCAGGGATGCAATGGGATGCCCAATGAGGGAGTCAGGAGCAGTCACCTGCCAGTCGCACTCCTCGATCTTGCATTGCAGCCTGGGCAGCAATTTGAACACAGGTTCTCGGAGCTCCCAGTCGTGGCATTCTCTCAGCTTTAGATGCTTCAACTTCGGCAGCTCCGGGAAGCCCTCGAACCCGGCACACAAGCTGAGGGACAGGTGGGTCAACTCTGGAAGGCTTGGAAGAGCCACGATGCTGCACCCGGTCAGCTGGAGACGCTGGAGACCCGTCAGGTTCACGAGTAGCTCCGCCCAGGGAGCATCCAGATATGTCGACACGAGTGGGGACCTTGCTTTGACCACCCAGGCGCATTCTAATGAGAGAGACTTCAGCCCAGAGCACGCTGCCAGCATCGGCAGAACAGGTTCCGAAGCAGAATGGGTCCCCAAGGACAAGGCTAAGTGCTCCAACTTAGGACAGTTGGCAGCGATGCCCAGCCATGCTCCCATCTGCCCCTGGAGGTCTGCATATCCTTCCCAGGTGCAGTCTATTGAGAGGGACGTCAGCCCAGAGCATAATGTCAGCGCTGACAGGACACGTTCCGAAGCAGAAGGGGTCCCCAAGGACAATGCTAAGTGCTCCAACTTATAAAAGTTGGCAGCAACGCCCAGCCCTGCTTCTCTCTGACCCCGGAGTCCCACTTCTTCCTGATTCCGGGGACCTCCTTCTGCCTGATCCCGAAGTCCTGTCCCTTCCTGATCCTGGAGTCCCGCTTCTCTCTGCTTCCAGAATTCCCTCAGGTCCAGTGGTTCTTGGACCGAAAGCGAAAGACTCTTCAACGGGCCACTCAGACTTAGTTGGTCAAGGTGTGCCGTCAGGTCGTTAAACCCTCCTGCAGTTATTAACACCCAGGAGATGGCCTCCACCTTGCTTAAACATCGTTCCCGGAAACTCACAGATTCTTGACCAACAGCCGTCATTGCCATCAGAGTGGCATGTTGCACCTGAATTTGATCAGCAAGGCTGCCAGGACAAGACGCCCTTTGCGTTTTGTTGAGTACGTTGACAATTACATCGTCCGTTAGCCTGACCGCACAATATTCCTCCTCACTGCTCCCGTCCTCCTCACTGCTCCAGCTGCTCTCCGAGCCGCTTCCCTCACTCTCGCATCCCGCCTCCATCTTCAACCGGCACCAAGATGGTGTAGCAGGCCCGTAGCAGGCCGCAAGAACTAGTGTTGGCTGCCGCCAAAAGTGCTGGGTCAAGAAAGAGGCCAAACTTCTAAGATTCAAGAAACAAGCCGGCCAAAGGATGTGCAAATCGCCTCGCTTGACGTTCCAATCGTCTCCTTCCTGCCTCCTCGGGCAAGCTCAGTTGGTTGAGCGTCGTGCTTAACCTAGCACACTAAAAGGGGTTGGACCGAAAGGTCGTGTGTTCGATTCTCGAACCCGGCCATCCGCTGCGGAAGGGGCGAGGATTCCCCTTTCGTTTGTCGGTGTGCTAGTCCCGGTGCTGCAGCTGATCAGCCCGGTGTGCCAGACTGTTCATACCGTCTCCTTCCTGAACTACCGGCAGTGAAAACGCAAATTTAGCGGAGCTCTAGCTGCAATATAGCAGGGTGCCATGGGGTGACGGATCCCCCGGTGGAAGATGGCCACCGCTACCGTATA